CCTTAATAGGCATATTATTTAAGAAATACATCTTCAGAGTGCTACTGAGCCCCAGGATTTTATGTTCACTAGAAAAGTCATATAGATGCTATACAGTGAAAGCTATCGTGCAACTGTAGTTACCATTCCAGATTACAAGTACCCAACTGGCCAACACCAACCACAGAAAATGGTGGAGAGGCAGCTCAACAGGAGCCAGCTGGGAGCTGCGCTGTGCCAGATCCACCTTTGGATGGGGCCATGAAGACTAGTCCTTTTGCTGGTAAGGGAAATGTTGAGGTGGGGTTATGTGGAGTGTGTTGTCCTAACCAATCTGTGATGGTGTGTATGGGGGTTTGAGTGGGTAGGGTTTGTTATATTTCATTAATTAACAAGAATATTACTGTTTTAAATAACTTGGTTTGATTTTGTATTGCTCTGCTGTTAATATTGTATTTGAATTTGTATGTGCTATAGGTATAGTATTGCATTTATGCTGATTTTGTATTTTGCTATTGTAAATTTTTGATCAAGTATTCTTTAAAAGAAGCAACAGTAGATTACACCAGCCTTATTTGAATTAAATATTGCTCTCTAAAATTAAGTTGTATTTGATTACACTTAATTTCAAAATTTTATCCTTTTATTAGCATTTTGAACTGCTTCTGGTTATTTTAGAGAATTTTCATTTTTTGGTATTATATTTAAAAACGAACCCACAAAATACTACATTATGTATATAATGCTTTTTAGTTCTGCCTCAGTCGTCCTCAAAATAATTTTCCTATTTTTGCTGATCCCCAGCTGTAAAAAGGTTGAAAACCACTGGTGTAGAGCATTCTATTCTGCTGATAATGACCCGAGCTAAGCAGGATTTAATTGGAGTGAGTGAGACAGGACTGGGAGTGTGTGTGTGTGTCTGAGTGGCAGTATTGATTATACAGATTTTAAGGAATCAACTCTAACTCTTTTCAATGTTTTAATTCAATCAATAAGCTTTATTTCCTACCTTGATGGTATGGATAAAGAAGATTATAAATCAGGCATATTTTGTACATTACAACACAACATAGTATATATGCAAATGAACTGAAGTGTTAAAAACAGGACATTTTAAAATCCTCTGAAAAGAGATATATAAAATACAATGGACATTTATAAATGTAGAAAATGATATACCAGTTGTCTCTTCTTTGTGTATCTTTATCCGTAATGCCATATGCTTGTTCCCAGTGTGGGTATTTTTATTCATAACTTCCAGAGTCTAGAGGGAAAACCCCTGTACAGTCTCATAGGAGCAGGAAGTCCCATGCTGATTCCGACCAAAGATCTATTCAGTCCAACATTTTTCCCCTACAGTAGCCCACCAGATACTTAAGGAAAGTCTGCAAGTAGGCTGTGAATGAAATGAGTACAAATATTTGCACTTGTATTCACCAGCAACCCCTATTCTGCTGCCTGCTGCCTTTTATCCTGGAGCAAATATATAGCCATCATGATTAACCTCCATGAAGCCAGTGAGAATTGACTGCTCCTTGTGCAGAGTCACATACCTGAACCAAAACATGCTCTTCTCTCAGAGATGAGTCTTTTGTTGCCTTTGAAATGTTGAGTCTCATTGTAGTGCCTGTCCCTTTCATAAGCATAACCATGTGGGTGAGAAATAACAACAGAGTAAACAGAAGGAAGGGTATTTGAGATGATTCCATGGGCCAGAAAATATCTATATATAGAATGTTCCAGAGACTTCTGCTTTCATTCATTTGTTTGTTTGTTCGCCCGTCTGTCCTTCTGACTGTCTATCCTTCCATCCTTCCATTTGTTCATTCATTCAAAGTATTTCTTTATCACCCTTCATGTATTGAGCATACTTTACAAGTACTGGATTTCAGGAAGAAAGGTGAAGGGCAAGGGCTGCAAATCATATGCACAGTTACGAATAAACTGTAAAACAGGTAGATGAACATGTTGTTTCCACATCTTTTTCTCTTTCTTTTTAGATGACTTTTACTGGGGATTCTAAGCTAAGAAATCACACCATGAGACCTGAGTTCATTTTCCTTGGATTCACCAATAATTCTGGAACAGAAATGATATTCTTTGTTGGCTTCATTACTATATATACCCTCACACTATTGGGAAATGGCCTCATTGTCACCCTTACCCTGGTTGATTCAGCCCTTCACACACCCATGTATTTTTTCTTGAGGAACTTGTCCTTCCTAGAGCTTTGCTACACTTCAGTGACTCTCCCCAAGATGCTCATCAATTTTGTGTCTGAATGCTGGCTGTGCAGCACAGATGTATTTTCTTCTTTCACTTGGAACAGTGGAGTGCTATCTGTTGGCTTTCATGGCCTATGACCGCTACATGGCCATCTGCTCCCCACTCCATCATCCTCTCATTATGAACCAAAGACTGTGTGCTCGGATGGCAACTGCCTCTTGGATCTGTGGAACTGTGTTGCCCCCTGGCAATGTGGTTTGGATCTTCACCTTGCCTTACTGAGGTCCAAACAAAATTAATCACTTCTTCTGTGAAGAAGACCTCTAGAAGGGTCTAGAACTTGTTTCTACCTTCTCTTACCCTGGTTCTTACTTATCTTACTTTATGAAGGACATTCATCATTTGAAAGCATTCTATAGGCTGACCAATTCAAGACTATTTTAAATATCTGTAGACAAGGGAGAGCAGAAGCCTTATTGACAGTCCCCTTACTGAAGTTGCCTTATTGAAGTTCCCTATTGACAGTTACCAAATGGAAAGGTGACAGAGTGAATAGACATAAAGGTGCCCTGGCCACAGTCTTTCCACTTCGTTATTATGCATGACATATGTCTTTAAATTGTACAAAGTATTTCTAAATCTGAACAAATGGACAGGTTTTAGGACGCATAAGCCAGACTGCTACAGTCTATCTTAGAAGATGATCAGGCTCATCATGCTTAGGATGTACCATATCTCTCCCTTTGGACCTCCTGCAGGTATCTTATGGGGCTTTGTGGGAGCAATGAGGTTTCCCTTTCTCCCCATTGCCCCTTGTCAGCAGGGTGGAGAGGAGCAATAGGAATCACTTGCAGCCTGCAGCTCAACACACAAAGAGACCTTGCAAGCCATGGCGAATGCTTTGGACTTCTGCTGACATTGGCAGCTAAGGCATCTTGCTGCATTTCTGCTGTCTAATGCTGATGCCTCTCTGCAGAGCACTGGATGAAGGACTAAGTTACATTCGGCTTGGGTTACTGTGCAGTAGGCTGTAGAGCAAACATAATGAATAAGGAATTGTCAGGAGCTGAATGAAGATCAGGAGTAAAACCAGGAATACTAATAGCAGAAATTCAACAAAGGAATGTGCTTGTAATCTGCCCCTTTGTATAATTCATTTGAAGTCTTCGTTTTATATTTTTAGTGTATTATATTTTAATTGATGTTTTGTGAGCTGCCCAGAGGCTTCGGTGAATGGGGCGGCATAGAAATTTTCTAAATAAATAAATAAGTCCACTGCACTTTGCTAGGCTGAACTTCGTGGGTCATAAAATGAACAAGATTATCTAACCACTGACAGAGTAATGCTGGTTTACATTTCAAACTACCTGGCTACAAAAATGTTTCCACACACAGTGAGCCCCACAGGATCTCTTTTCAGTGTTCCAATTAAGGAAATATCTTCCTTTCATTTAAATCACCCCCTGAAAAGGACATGTTTCCTGTTACTTCAAGCTATGAGAGCTTCAGCTGTTGGATGGTTTAATTCATTAATTAATTGAAAGGCCCCTGCAGTACAATGTGTCCTCATCCATAATCTTTTATGTTGCACTCCAAATACGAATAAAGTTTGCTTTTGTTGTTCCTTCATGCATTTGTTTTTAAAAGACCTGCATGGATTGTTAAATTCAATAAATCTGATGTTTTTATTAATTTGCAAGCATTTTCTGGTTCATCAGGACCAATGTGTTACAGTCTGCCACACTCTTTAGTTAGGCCATCTAGTAGTTATCTTTATTTTTATTTGGAATATAGAATTCCTTTATGCTTCCCTCCACCCTCTGTATTCAAAATGAACTGAGCTTTTTCCTTTATGAGCAAGGGATCTTTGGATACGAATTGTGAACCTTTTTTTCTCTTTACTGAGCTATAAGTAAACCATTATAATGTTATTTCTTCTGCTAATTTCTATTTTACTGTTTTATTTCAAAAATATTAATAAAGATAATAGTATATGAATGTATGGAAACAAGGAGTTGGGATGGGCAGGTTGGATGACATTTTTTTCAAATTTCTCCATCAATTGTTTGGAAAGAAATTGAAACTGTCAAAGAGAGGAATCTTTCTACTCCCACAGGTGCCAGTTTTGTACATTTGAACCTGAGCACAGACTCAGAAACAATCTGCAGTCAAGGCCTATAGATTCCCAGGCTTGCCATGCAATTTGCAAACCAACAAAATATATTTGGAATTTGAAAACTAGGCATGAAAAATATGTACTTTTGAAAAACACACACAAATAGGATTTAAGCAATGGGAGAAAATAAATACATTTTGAAGATGTGCACAAAAGCTTGCAAAACTTGCAAAGGGACAATGACTTGATTTGGAACAAACTTTGAGATGGAGTTTGGAGCACTTCAAGCAAGCTTGTGTTTCATCAGTCCACATACCTGCATTTATCTGGTATGAAAAGCTTTTCTCATGTACCATTCACGGTCATGAAATATGTTCCCTCAAGAACTATGACTGGCCCCATTTTCTTGGCTTTTTAAAGGGAAATTAATACATGTTGAAGCCATTCTTTAAAAATAAGTATTTGTGTCTTGATAAGTTCTCCATTGTCTCCTCTCTCTTGGCCTTGTGCTTGCTCAAAGTTCTTTTAAATGCAGACTGGGCCTCCTGTGATGAAGCTGAACTGTCCCTCCTCCTGCACACAGAGTCTACCCCATTCAGCAGGATCCTAGCTCTCTGTATACCATTTTGGGGACTGCTGTTGAAGAAGGTGTGGGGAGCATCCAATCTCATTGGCCAAGATGATCCAGAATAAATCTGCAAGACATCAGTTTAGGGAAGGTTGTCCTCCTCCTCCTCCTCCTGGAGATGCATTCATTGTATATAGTAGGTATGTATAAAGTAGATAGACAGTACTGATAGTAGGTAGACATTGTATAAAGTAGGTAGACAGTACTGATTGGGTCACACAGTAGACAAATTGAAGGCATTTATCAACATTGGAGATAACTGGAATTTGTATCATGGTGTTGGGAACAAGTTCCAGGAATGTTGAAATGTTGGTAAAAAGACTTGGAGCCCCAAGAGACTATACCTGACCCAATCAGTACTGTCTACCTACTTTTGGACCTCCCTGTATTCTTTTGACTATTTGTATTGCATATACCAATTCTTTGTGTAGCATTTTGCTATCTCAAGTGTTGGTCATTTTGCTATCTCAAGTGTTTGTCATACATGCTCATACATACATACATACATACATACATAGAGTTCTTTTGGTATTCTGCCAGTTCAAAATGTGAAGAACAGTTTGTTTATGCATACTATTTCTCTACCATTCAGTATTAAGAAAGGCATAAGCAGGAAATATTCATAATATATATAATGAGGCCAACTCTATTGAGGAAATAAGTATGTTTATTACTTAGATATTTCAGACACTAATCATTTGTTTTTGGCCTTGTCTGGGAGCATTGCCATCTCACAGGGAGATAAAATTTCTGGTCTGAAATGACAAACAAGAACTCTTCAGAAAACAACTGAGAATATGTGACCTTGAGACATAATTTGCACAAAAGGCTGTCATTCGTTCTGTTGCATGCAAAATCCTCTTTGCAATTCCCATGCCCAAAACAAAATGAATAGCAACATTTGTGAAGGATGATATATAAATATATGTACTCCCCACACATTACAGAAGAGGGACTATTGTATTTGCATTTATGCATTGGATTGATTTCTGTTCACTTTGCTGCATTCAAGCCTATAAGCAGACAGAACAATCTCTCAAGTCAAGCCAATTGAATCATGGAGACTCCAACCTTTTATAACTGTGGAGGGTCAGAATAGATGAAAATTGTGAAAATTTCCCCTGGTGGGCAGAACGGTACTTAGGGTGGTGGTATTATTGCTCTTGCTGTTGCTGCCTCACATAGCATGCCAGACCCAGGTTTTTAAATGTGGGATGTTGAATCCTCATCCTATTGTTCCCATGTATTATCAGTCAGGAGACTTCATCTATGGAGGCATCATTTTTCAGGCCTCCTTCTATGTCCATCCTAATAACTTCAGCAATCGACCTTCTGGGCCACCATTAACAAAAATGTTTGTATACAGATCCTTTATACCCCCATAATGTACCTCTGTCCACATCCTGTTTGGTAGTAGAACCATGATATAGGGAGGCACGAGATTAAATTGTAGCTGTCAGAGATTTTGTGGTCTCTGTTAAGGGTGCTTTTGACACGGAAAGAGAGAAATTGGCAAGCTTCACATCTCTGATGCTGGTTGTGAAAGAAGCCCAGAGTTCTGGGAAATTCTGTGAACACAACTATGAGTAAAATGAGTTTCAGCCTCCAAAGTATGGCTTATTAGACCAGGCTACAGATAATCTTAATAAAACAGAAGAAACGAGCTATACCTTCCACTTAACATTTCTTTTGAATCATTATCTGATTGCCCTCCTTTACAAAACTTATTAATTCTCTTCACATTTTCATTCTCTTCCTGTTTTTCAGTCCCCCCTTGCAACCCCGATCCTCACTTTATTTCATACCATGCAGGCCCCATTTTTAAACTGTTGGAGGGCAATACCTCCCTTCCTTAAGAGAAGCCAAAGTATTTGTCGCTTCCCCAATCATACAATGTCTTGCCTTATTCCAATCCACCTCAACATTCCTTGGCCTGAAGCAGCAAAATCTGAAGAGCTGTGGGATACTGTCTTGTCCACCACCCTATAACTTCCTTTGATTTTATATATATATAAATGTTATATATATATAACATTTCTCTGTAGTGAGCATGTTTCATGTTTGCACAAGTGCATGTTTCTTCCAAGTGCACATCACATGCATCAGGAAGGAGATTTTCCTTTTCTGTGTCATAAAGGGAAGGGGTACAACTTAGAGGTAGAACACCTGCTTTGTGTGAAGAATGTCTCAGATTCTGCCACTGGGATCTGCAGGCAGGGATAGGAAGCCCTGGAGAGCTGATGCCAAAAAAGTCAGGTTACTGTGTTTCTGGTTGTTTGGATATGAGTCTGTACCCTCAGATTGTTTATTTCCTTATTCTTGTGTGACCTATCTTGCTTTAAGGACTGCCTAATAAAATACAGACGGTGATGATGATTCAAAGCAGAGTGGGCAGACTTTTTGAAAATAAAGAACGTATTTATGACAAAAATGTACATCTCTTCGTAGCATAGTGGCTGAGAACTATCAGCACATTCTGGCTTTGGCATTTGCTGTGCAGGAGATCAACCAAAATTCCCAGATATTACCCAACACTACACTAGGATTCAAAGTTTATGACAGTTTCCTATCTCCAAAGTGGATTTATCATGCCACAATTAAGTTTCTTTCTCCAAAGAACAAGCTTGTCCCCAACTACAAGTGTGAGATCCACGACAAACTACTGGCAGTCATTGAGGAACTGGTTTCTGATGTCTCCCAACAACTACCAAAGGTCTTGGACGTGTACAAGGTTCCACAAGTAAGAAGTGTGCAATTTGGGGAAGGGAAAAATGAATACTTGATAACCTTCTCCATTCCAGATGTGACTTTGTGATTTGGCATGCAGGTAGAGCTGGGTTTGTTTCATGTTAACAAGGAGATAGTATGTTTTGCTTAAAAATCAAATCATATCAAGACAGCAGTGCTTATGACTGTTTCCAATTTAGAAAAAAAAATCCATAAGTAGCTCTGTATCCATGAAATTCAACCCATGAAATTATACTGAGTTTTATTCAGACTTAATGATACTGAAAGTAGATCCATTGATAACAATTGCAGACATAAATATCAGCACCATTACCATTGCATTTGTCATTGTCATCATCATCTTAATGTGAATTTTTCAAACCCAAAGAAAGCTACGTGAAAGAGAAATATACCATTTTCTTCCAGAAATTAATATGAATTACTTAGAATAGATGTGTATAAATGCATATCCATAAGTAAATATAAGTATGCAATATTTATATGGACAGAAACAGATATGCACAAGCTTTAGGAAAGGCAAATCAAATATCCATATACTTATTCATTTGCATTTATTCATCCTATCATTTGTTAGTTATGATTTCATGAGTAACATTGATTTCCATGGTAGTATTCTAAATATGACTAGGTCTGGATTGGACCCAATATTTTTACAGTAGCTTATACAGCCTTTACAAATAGAGCAATGAACATGCACAGTAAACAACATAGCAAGCATTTTTTTTTTCTTTCTGTTCCTCCCTTCTCTCTTTAGCTTGTGCATGGCTCTGCTACAGTTGAAATGGAGAGCCAGCAACTTCATCCCTTCTACCGGTTGGTTCCAAATGGATTCCATCAGTACAAGGGGATTCTCCAGTTACTTCACCATTTCAACTGGAGATGGGTTTCATTCATTGCTGCAAATGGAGAGAATTTAGAGTGGTTCAGGAATGCAATGTTTCCAGAGTTCTCCAAAAGAGGCATCTGTTTTGCACTTATGGAGTCATTCACCAGTTTGTGTTTATGTTATAATCCTGAAAAAGGACTGATTTTGAAATGCGGATTGGAATTTTATTATAAGGTGATTAACAGTAAAGCCAACGTGCTGATTTTCTATGGGGACACACGTTCTATGGTACTTTTGAGGTACTTGCTGAGTATAGATGCAATGGAAAGGTCAAAAGGCAAAGTTTGGATTCTAACAGTGGGAATGGAGTTAAAAGACATTATCAGCAGAAGTTGGGATATGCGAGACTTCAACGGTAGTTTGTCATTTTCCCTTCATTCCAAGGAACTTCCAGGATTTCAGGCATTTCTTCGGAGCAGAAACCCTTCTGATGCTAAAGGAGATGGTTTTATCAAAGATTTCTGGGTTCAGGCATTTGACTGTACATTTCAGGACTCTCTTCTGGACCATGTGAGTGGGAATTGCTGCACTGGAGAGGAGAAGCTGGAGGACCTTCCCGAGCATGTCTTCCCAGTGAGTGTGACTGGCCACAGCTACAGCATCTACAATGCAGTCTATGCTGTGGCCCATGCTCTAAAGGCCATGCATTCATCCACATCCAAAAGAAAAGCAATGGTGGAAGGAGAAGGAAGGGGGCTTCATAATCAACACGCCTGGCAGGTAAAATAGGACTCAACAAGTCAATTGGTAGTAACATTTGTATGTGTATATTCTAATTGGGTTTTACATTGGCTAATACTAAATCACTCTGATTCAGAAAGAAGAGTTCCAAAGTGATTCCATGTCTCTAAACAGCAGCATACAATAAAAGCATGAGCAGCATAGAATAAATAAATGCAATAAGGTTACTTGGGATGTCTCAGAAGGGGAAGATTTGACACACTTGAGCTCAGCGGATTTCCCACAAAGTTCCAATCTGATGAGAAAAAGTAGGGCAAGCAGCGGGGTGGGAGTCATGTGTTTCTGTCCCTACAATGGTCCAGAAGTTGTGTATTTATTATTTTTACCTGTTAATTGCATTTGTGAAAATAAGCATCTGAAAGCCATGTGGCTGTAGCTCAAATTTTTCAGAGTGATTTGCATAGAAACCATTAGATTGTCACACTGATCATGGTAAAAACTGTGAAGCATGGTCAACACACAGGTTTGGTTCTCCTGTTGTGTGAACCCAGTCACAATGGAACAGTTGGTTTTATCTGTCCCTTTACTACTGAGTCAGTAATGTAAAAGAGAATAGCACTTTTTCATATTGTACAATCCCATACAGCAATGTCTTATCCTAAGAAAGTGAAAGGAATGTTTTTGCATTGTTTGTTTACAGTATCAATATGAATAGCCTGAAGTGGCCATATTACGTGACAACCATACTGAAAACGTAGAGGAGACAGTTAAGCTTGGCTCTAAGTGTCTGTTTGAACATTCTGTCTATCAAGGCCATTCTTTCTACCTCTGCAAGGAAAATATAATGGGGCATTCCCTTCCCCACTGATTTCCTTGTGCACCATACATTTTGCTGTGCAAGTAATGAGTCCCACTGATTCCACTGGGCTGAATTCTGCCCCCTGTATCTATTCACATCTTCTTTGTTAAAAGCATGTGTTTTCCTTTAGCTCCACCCTTTTCTGAAAGCTGTGTCATTTAACAACAGTGCTGGAGAAAATGTTTTCTTTGACAAGAATGGTGAGTTAGTTCTGAGATATGACATCATAAATTGGATCGTATTTCCAAACCAATCTTTCATTAGAGTAAAAGTTGGAAGCATGGATCCCCAGGCTACTCTCGAGGAAGCATTGACTATTGATGAAGATGCCGTTGTGTGGCACAGCTGGTTTAACCAGGTAGGAGTTGACTTCAGGCATTTGGGGAGAAGTCCTTATTTTAAAGGACTGTCATACAAGTTGAGCACCATGCTAAAGATGTAGTTGGCAGTCTTGACTTTTTACTCTAAAGTAAGCAGAGAGTACTTGACCTGCATCAGGACCATGTTGTGAGAAGCAGAGGGCTTTAAGTTTTCCCCCATTTGGAACCACCTCCCTTGCCATTTCTATTGCCAAAAGGTGTTCCATTAAAGCAAGTGGACTGCCTTTTGATAGTACAAATTGCAGACATCTCACCCTCCAAATTCTGAGCTGTTATCAGGAAGCTCATGGTAGCATAAGCCCTCCAACATCCGTAATACTGGCAACCATAATATCACCTTGAGTTAAGGCAGAAAACATTGGTCTTAACAAAGGGGGTAATTTAGCCTCTTTAGGTCACCTTTGGAAGTCTAGATATAGCATTACCAAACCCATTTAAACAGAATACATGAAAAAAGGCAAACAAGAGGTAAAACTAATCAAATGTGTAAGAAATCCACCTTGGAGTGAATCATCCTGATATTTTTTTTCTAAGTGTAAGAATTGGAGGTTGCTTAGTTTACAGATGCTTCACAGTTTTTCATATTACTGGTTCCCAATAATCACCCTGATTTCTGTTCCTGATGGGTTTGTTGGTAGAGTGATTCCCTTCTATGCTTTTAGTGAGGGACATCTGTTCTCCTCACTTGAAAACCCTCCTGCAGTTTTAATGTTTTTCTCATGAAAGCCATGGCTTCACAATCATTGTGCAAACTGAATACCCCCCTCCCCAGTTTGTGCACTCACTGTGCTTGTTTTCAGGTAGTTTCAATTACAACTGGTACACTAGTAGTGTCTGGATCCTTGCTACTGGATGACTTGGCCTGCTGGCCCACTCATGATCTGGTAGGAGCTCCAATTAATTGCTCTTGGATAGAAACAATACCCAGAATGCTCAGAAACCTTGGGCAGCTCAAACTAGCAGCAGCACTTGTTACTGCAGTTCTGTTTAGTCACTTCTGGTTTGGCCAAACTAGGCCGAATCTGTCAGATAAGTTTCGCACCTTGCCATAGGTGAAGATCTGCAAAAGCACACCTTTCACCTTTAATTATTGAGACACAGGAGTAGTGATACTCTCCAGACTTCAGTTATATGAATAGATCACTCAGTCCCAGAGAAAGGAATCTTCAAATGTCTACACTATTTAAAAAAAGGTTTTGTACAAATTGTAGGCAGAGATATTGATAAGAGATAGAAATAGAGAGAGAGATGGATGAATCACCCCTAATCCACTGTAAAGTTCACCAGGTGATGGATTCCTAGCCTATACCTGGCTAGGATAGCCTACCTAACAAAGATATCAAATGCCAGAGAAGACCTTTCCTCAGCCAAGCCCAAGGTTTAAAATATTTTTACATACCATCATGACAAATACAATGAACACCCCGCTCCCAGCACTGACTTTGTGTTGCCCCGTATTCTTGCTCTGCTGTACCACTGTTGGCAAGAGCTCACTGCATGCCATGTTTACCTCCTGCTTGCTAATGATTCCAGTACCATTCTTCAAAGGTGAACACTGTCTCTTTCACTGGTGGACAGGTACACCCTCTTGCTGTGTGTAATGCCAACTGCCAACCGGGTTATAGGATGAGACAGAAGGAAGGGGAGCCCTTCTGCTGCTATGACTGCATCCCATGCCCCGACGGGAGAATATCTGACCATGAAGGTGAGAGTTAGCCTGTGCAGGTATAATGGAGAGATTGGTTGTGATCCGGAGAAACATGGATGCACAACACACACATTATGGCTATGCTCAGAATAAACTCTATGTGAGCATTGAGCTTGAATGCCACCATGTTCGTTTGTTTTCTGTGCTGCCCAATTGCTGGAGATTTTTAGATGGTTTACAACATCATAATCATTTGAAAATGTCACATGTTGCTTCTAGAATGTGGCTTCCTTGCCGTAATGACAATTGACTACTGAAATTTACACAGGCTAGATCGTAAAGTATATTTGGATGCTTCAGCTGGTACAGGATGTGGTGATTTCACCTTTACTATGTGCCATAGAATGGGTGCATAGGAATTGTTTGGCTGTCACTTCTATCTATTAAAACTCTGGGAACAAATGCATACCCCCCCACAACAAAAAGTAATTTGATACTTCTGTGTTTGTATTTTTATTATTTCCAGAACTATGTTTCAAAGAGCACATCGAGGAAAAATATTATGGCCCTGTATTCAGTACCTTCCTCTCACTGCAGAAACTCTAGTAATCTTTTCCTATGTGCACTGCAATGCGCAGTTCACACACGATGCATCACATTATCACTTGGTCCTGGAAGAGGCGGGGGAAACATTCAGTACACTGAATATTTAGGAGACAGAATCCATTGGGTGAAACATTATGGAAAAGGAGGGTGGGGCCCAAATCTGCTTTCCATTGTTAGTGGAAACCTCTTATTATTTTTAATAGCAAGATGTTTGAGAAATCTGCCAACTCTGGTGCAAAGTCCCATGTTTGTATTGTTATTTTTGTATTGTATTGTATTTTATTGTGTTGTAAGCCGCCCCGAGGCTTTGGCAAGGGGCGGCATAGAAATGTTCTAATAATAATAATAATAATAACAACAACAACAACAACAACAACAACAACAACACTGGCTCAGAGTAGAGCACCTCAGCAACATTTCTGCTGACTGCATGTCACTTTTTTCTCCCCAGACATGACTGACTGTTCCAAATGCCCAGATGATCATTATGCAAACGAGGGCCGGAATTTATGCATTCCCAAGATTGTGAGCTTCTTATCTTATGAAGAACCTTTGGGTATCAGTTTAGCCCTGAGTGCTGTTTCATTTTCTATGATCACAGCCCTGGTGATAAGAATATTTATCAAGCACCACAACACCACCATGGTCAAAGCCAACAACAGGGACCTCACCTACACCCTTCTCATCTCCCTCCTGCTCTGTTTCTTTTGTGCATTGCTGTTCATCGGCCAGCCAGAGAAGGTGACATGCCTTCTCCGCCAAACAGCCTTTGGCCTTGTCTTCACAATGACTGTTTCTTCTGTGTTAGCCAAAACCATCACTGTGGTTCTAGCCTTCAAGGCCACCCAGCCGGGAGCCAGGATCAAGAAGTGGGTTGGGAAAAGGTTGGCCCTGTCCATTGTTCTTTCTTGCTCCAGTCTTCAAGCCGCCATTTGCACTTCTTGGCTGGCAACCTCTCCCCCATTCCCAGACACAGACATGCACTCTGTGGCCAAAGAAATTGTACTTCAATGCAATGAGTCTTCATCCGTAATGTTTTTCTGTGTCCTGAGCTACATGAGCTTGCTTGCCATTGTCAGCTTCAACGTGGCTTTCAATGCCCGGAAGCTGCCAGATAGTTTTAATGAAGCCAAATGTATCACTTTCAGCATGTTGGTATTTTGCAGCGTTTGGCTGTCTTTTGTTCCAACCTACTTAAGCACAACAGGGAAATACATAGCAGCCGTGGAAATCTTCTCTATCTTATCCTCCAGTGCAGGGATCTTGGTTTGCATGTTTTCTCCCAAATGCTACATTATTTTGTTGAGGCCCGAGCTGAACAGGAAAGAACATTTCTTAAGGAGAAAACATTGAAGAGATGTCTTTTTGGTAGTTAGCTTCTGTATGGCATCCAATGTATTCCAAATGGGGTTGTATGGAGTCTTTGAACTGATTATAGCTACTGGTGCTAACTGTCAATTTTCTCTTTAATTTCAAAATGCTGGGAATTTTGGTTCTATATTACATGGTACCATGTGTTTTATTACATTCGGTACCCAGCTTTTCTCTTCATGTCATCCTCAGTTTCTTTGGGGCAACTGTGTGGGGGTTACTCTCAGTTCCATAGTAGTGTATGCATATATGCTACTTATGTGTCCCTATGCTTATGGCAGCCATAATACTTATTATCTCTGATATTTACATTCAACAGAAATGAATCTACCAGATAACTGAAACTGGTCCAGAAGCAATCCTGGTAATTCAGGGTTTCAGATCTGTCTTTATGGCTTTGTGTTCTGGTTTATTTTCCTGGGCTCTTTGTAGTTCTTGCAAAATTGCATTTTCTGGTGGTATTATGCCTATGCAGAGACATTTTGGATTTGAAACAGACCTATACAAATGATCCAGATTCCTGAATGCATTTTACATATGTCAGGATCAATCTTTCTTCATATTTTTTCATCTGATTCTTGAAGTTATTAAAGTGTATGTGTAAAGACTAAATGATTAAAGCTCATGTAATTAGACAATGCAGTTTATTATTTGTATAATTCCATATTGCATAAAGGGTTTGTATCACAGTTGGCCTTCATATGTCTTGGTATCCAGAGCAGAAACTAAAGGAAATAATGAGAGAGGGGGGGGGGACCTGAATGACTAAGGGCCGTATTTAGTTCCTCCACCCTGTCGTCTGCGTGTGTCAAATAGAATATCAAGGAACCTATGGGCAGCTGGCCTTCTTTTATTGGTGGGCCACCTGCCTTGGGTGAAAATTGCATTCTGACCCCTGCCACTTCTGCTAAACCAAACTTAGTCGCGTAAGAGGGGAGGGTGCCCTGAATCACCGCTTTGTAGTGCATTACAGGTTGGGGTAGCCAAAGCAAGTTATTGCCAAAGGCAAACCAATTCCACCCTATGGGTCCCACAGCCCTGCACTTGCCAATCACCGTAAAAGTACCTCAGGGTGCTTCTCACAACCTCAGATCCAATTGCCAGCACTACCTTGCCAAGTGGCCAATTTGCTCTGTGGTCATCAAGGCACAGTGCAGAGTAGGCAGAGCAGCAGCAAAGCAGTAGCCATGTCACTAAGCTGATCCATGGATCCCTGGTCCATACATTCATAGGGCCATTTCTGCACCCATATAGTGAGGATTGGCATTGCCCAGCTGAATGTGTGACCTGCAGCATGTCTGTTGTGCTACTTCTTGTACCCACTACAGAGAAAACTTGCTGTGTAAGGTCCTCCAAGCATGGGAATGATCATATGTATTTGAGGACGGAAATAGGCTTCCATACAAACAAGCACTTATTTGAGCGTGCCATTCACAATAGGAACTATCAACATAGTGAAGGAAGAAGATTTGTTCTGGCTGAAAGCATTTACAGTAGGAATAGTGGCTGACATAGTTGTGAACCAAGCATCATGTTTGAACATTCACAACTCCCCATGGATGTAACCTGAACCTCACCTTGCATTAAGAGACCTTTTGTTCATAAATTGTTCCTCTTGTGACCACAATGGAATGATGATTGCAAGACTTTAGTCTCATGAGTTCTTCATCACTCAAAACTCAGGAGTGCTTGGTATCTAACAACTGCTTTAATAATGAACTCAAGTGTGGGGATACTGCTTTGGATATCACTACATTACACAGAAAGACCAAGAAAAACTGCATGATTGTCAAAAAAAGCATCACTTACAAGAAGTTTTACCGAGGTAAACAGAATTCAGGGAAGAAATGATATTTTAATCTTTGGATAGCAAGTCTGTGATTCTCAATCTACTCAGCTCAAGCCTCCATCTCTCCCTTCTACATGCACAGACTTTAGGAGTATTCTAGAAAATGCCTAATTAGGAAAAGAAAAAAAGAAAAAATAGCTACTGCTGTTAGAAATCTTAGTGCTCTTTCCCAATATTTTCTCTTCTGTTATGATTCAGCTGTGTGTCTCTCCCTGCTCTTCAACACACATTTGTTATATTTATTTCATTTGATTTCACCCAATTATAACTGCTTTTGGGGCACATTAAGAAGATGATTTCAAGATTTCAGTCTCATGAATTCTACATCACTCAGACCAAAGGCTGACTTGACTCTATGCAGTATGTTGCCAATATTTGTTTGCTTCACCTAAATATTGCTTGGTAGAAAACAGTTGTTTTTTGAAAAATATTTCAGACGGGCTATTTGGTAAACATGAAATGGAAATGAAAGAGAAAGGAATTAGTTTGAACACCTCCAAACTTTGCAGATATAGATGAGAGCTGAAATGGAATAGTGCAGAAGCATTACAGGATATGAAATTGGATCTTCATTGACATGAATCTCTGGGAGAGAGAGACAAAGTTCACCCTTGTACCAAATGGCCAGCAGGAACAAGGCTTTTACCTCCATATTGCCTAGATAACATAGGGATGCTTCTTTATTATGCCATGGTGCCTTTTTCCACACAGTGTCAGAAGAAGTGGATATATCCCTGTATCATCTGGAGCATTAGATAAATCAGTTTGTCTTCATGCATTGTGCTTTAGGAGCTTTCAGCACCGCAGAGGATCATAATCAAATGCCAAGTTGCCCAGGTGAGTCCTACTTCCACCTGCACCTTCTTCTACCCACTTCTACCAGCACCATTACTTCCTAAATGGCTAAGAAATGTGAGTTTAACTAGAGAGGAAGAAGGTTAAAGGTAAGGTTGAGCTTCTTTGTTTATCAGCCCCCCTTAATGGACCCAAATCCCCTTTCTCTCCATTCTTCCTGCCTCCATGGTAACTGGTCATACCCCCTGTTATTTCACCTCCTTCCAACTGGATATCTTCACCTCAGGTTAACTGCACTACCTCCCACTTTAAAAGGAAAGTGCCCCTGCATTCCAATCTAGTCCATGCAGAAGCCTTTAAAAGCATAATGGAAGTTTTCTCTGTGGAGTCTAGATTGCAACAGTTTTTGAAGTCTCAGCTCTGACCACAGAAAGTTGTTCAGAGGTCAGAACTGGGATTCCAAGCTCAGAAAGTTGTCCTTTCATCCTCACAACCAGCACAGATTGAATCGTGCCTTCTGAGAAAGGTTCTTTGTGGGGAGGGGATCAAGGAGGGGAGGAGAGAACTTCCACCATCCTTGATGATGCCTTACACTCCTTTCCATTCAACTGAATGCCAAATACTTATGGACAAAGTCAGCTAGGTGTTTTCTATGTTGGGAAGACGGCAGAGGTGACGTTCACCCAACCTATTATGCTCAATAGGATGCTCATAATCCTTTGAAGTTTATTGGTAACTTTATTGCATTGAACCTTTACTTATTTTATTCATTGTTGTTACAGCCTTGATCAACTCAGGAGAGCTTGTGTAGATCTGTCTGCATTGTTCCAAATGTGTCAGGTTAACTTGAATGATAATGACTGGCCCATGGTACCCTGGAGAGCTTGCTAGCTGAGCATTAACATATCATAGGACCAAACTGAGGATGCATCAGCCATTGGTAGAGTATATGCTTTGAATTCTGAACATCCCAAATACAATCTCTGGCATCTTCCATTAAAAGGAAGGAAAATTCCGTGTTGCCCCAGACCCCACAGAGCAGAGAGCAGTAACAGCCAATATAGGGTTAGTGGACTAATATTTTGACATGACAGCTTCATATTTTCCAGTCCAAACATGTCCAGTCCTTGACAACTGCAGTGACATTGTGAGATATGGGTGGGGATAAGTTATTACAGACCAAATGTTGCAAATAGAAAGTTAATGTGAGCAAAAGTCATCTCATCCACAAGATACAAAATGGGTCTCATTCATACCTCCAGGTATGAAGGAACATATGTACATTGGTAAAGTGCACACACCTGAACTAGTCTATACAAGACAAATTGACTAATTGACAACATGTCAGATAATTAACAACCCACTTTCCAATTTCCAAGTCTATTTTTCCAAAGGAGTTCCAAAGGAGTTGTTTTGTCTATATCTTGTTTAATCATCTCAGCTTCTTCAGAAACAATTACTAAACAGTAAGTTGTCATTGCTCCAAAATGTTTTTTTATTGTCTTACAGAGCAAAGATTTGTACTTACTGCAGCAGAGGAAATATTAAAACAAAAACCAAAACTAGAGATTGTGCTATAAAACACTACCACCACCACCACCACCACCATCAAGTACAATGACATTCGACTAGTCCTCACAACTTATCAAGAGAACCAATAAATGACAACAATCATTGGTCAAGCATCTGTAGTTTAAAACCAGGAAATGGTTGAATGAACAGATAAACAAGCTGATGCTTAGAGAGGTGGACTGCTAGATATAGGCAGCGATACTGAAGAAGTGGAATATCTCATTTGTACAATGAGTAGACAAGAAAATGCCTCAGTTTTGTCTGGATTCCTATTAATAGGATTTGAAGAAACTCACAAGTTCCATCTCTTAATATTTGCTGTGTTGCTGTCTTTCTATGTAGGCACCTTAGTAATAAATACTTTAATTATCCTGATAGTAAAAACAGATCCTATGCTTAATACCCCAATGTATTTTTTCCTTATGCACTTGGCCTATTTAGAAGTTTGTTATATGTCCGTTACAATCCCTAAACTATTGGAGAATTTGTTGGTAAATCCTGCAAGTATTTCCTTTTGGGGATGTGCCATGCAGATGTTCTTCTTCCTGTGTTTTGGAGTGGCTGAGTGCTTCCTCCTAGCTGTAATGGCATTCGACCGGTACATTGCAATATGTCACCCTTTGCGCTACACAGTCATTATGAACAGAAATGTTTCCTGGAAGATGGTAACTGGTTCATACATATGTGGGATTGTAGTTGGGCTGCTCCACACCACTGTCACATTTCACTCATCCTTTTGTGGTGTGATCATCGACCACTTCTTCTGTGAGATACAGATACTGTTGGAATTGGTCTGTGGGAACACATATCTAAATGAAGTCCAAGTAATAGGTGTGGCTTTTTTTGCTGTTGCACTACCATTCCTGCTGATCATCCTGTCTTACATTGGCATTATCTTCACTATTGCTGGGATGCCAGTTTTGGAGAGCAGGCATAAAGCTTTCTCTACCTGTTCCTCCCACTTAATAGTGGTCACCCTTTTCTATGGCACAGCTAGCTCCATGTACCTAAAGCCCAAATACAGCTACTCTCCACCAGTGGACAAGCTTTTATCATTTTCCTATACAGTTGCAACTCCCCTTTTAAATCCAATTATCTATAGTCTAAGAAACAAGGAAATTCAGGGAGCCCTGAAAAAGCTCTGTAAGAAAATTTATTTATTTATTTAGAAAATTTCTAGGCTGCCCCATTCACCGAAGCCTCTGGGCAGCTTACAAATGAATAAATTAAAATACATAAATAGCAATATAAAATACACGTAACTGTATAAAATAAATTACCTTAGTGTAACAATAAAAATTGATGTATCAAGGAGAGAATGCCTTATGTTCTTCATTGAAACTAAGATTTTACTTGCTAATTTATGATGGAACACTAGGAAAACCGCTACTGATTTGTACTGGTCACTCAGTTCATGAATTAAAGCTCCTGTATTGATTAACATGAAAGATGCTTTGGAGAATTATACTCCACTGATCGTTGTTGATTTCAGTGCAAGAAATCAGCATTAGTCACTTACATAATACAGTCAATAGGATATTCCCATGAAGTTTGCAGCAAGGTAAGCTCCCAATAGCCATCCTATATTTTTGCTCCCAGAATTCTGAAAATAAAGAGTCCATTTAGCTGTTGTGACAATGAAATGATATCGGCATGTCCTTCTGAACTAGCCTAGTTCTTGCACCCATTACCAAACAAGCTAATGGCTATTACCAATACATGATCCACAATGAAGTGATTTTGTTTATTTATATCTTTGTTTGTTTGATTTGGTCCAACTTGCTCCCTGCATGGATGGGGTACAAAGTAGTGATACAGTACATGGGTATTAGGGACAATTCCTTCACTTCTCTCATTTAAGGATCTCATGGAGGAAAACATATCTTCAAAACTCGAGAATGCAACTGCTAGTTAGACAGTACTGATCTGGAGGGATCAATGGTTTTAATCAGAGTAGGGTGCATTAATGTGGATTTATGTTCATGGCAGACATCTCTTTACATTTAGTTTAGTGTGAATATTAGTAGAAATATTACTCAAAGCAAAACTAAAACTAAAAAAGGTTTATTTAAGTTAACCATCCTTCATTTCACCTATTTCAACCCCTGAAGTTTCTTCTTTGAGTTTGGCAGTCATTTCTCATTGCAAAACATACCTACCTAAGAAATACTCTAGATGCAACACCATGTGGGAATTGTATTACATCAGAGATCAATAAGGGATAACTTGTGTATAAATATACCTGGAAGGTGATGCTCATTATTGTTTAATGGTAATTAAAGGGCACCATCAACTATTAATGGGGTGGCACACTGCAGTATAGGAGAGGAGTTGCACAAGACCCTTGGAAATTATATGCCACCAAGTGAGCATCTACCAAAGAATGTGCATGGAAACTCTACACTGACACAAAAAGTAACTCTTTTTTCCTAGTGATCTTAGGGTGTATTCCAATTCTCCCAATGCTCAGTGCATCTAAGTTTCCAGATTGGAGCAGCAGCATTGATTTCTGAACCCAACACCTCATTTAGACAGCTCATGTGGCCAACTAGATGGAGTGCCACAGAAGGGAAAGGAAATGGCTTGAGCACATTAGGCTATGTCAGAAGCTGTCAGCACTAGCTCCCCTCCCTGCTCTTTTCCTCTTCTCTGGGCCTGGTTTCCAAGCTTGGAAAGGCAGCTAGCACTGTTTTTTCCATACCTGCTACGGGCAGGTGAAGCAGGGTCTCTGTATTTGGAGTCCAAGCTCCAAGGGCACAGAACACCAGATAATCCTACAAGATGGGTGCACATAGAATTGTGCTTAGTAAGAAATACAGAATCAAGCTTCTGAAGACTTTACATGACAGTACGACTTGCTCTTTGCACAGATCATATGTTGGGAATACCAAGAGAGCTGAATAAGGCCTGTGTTAAATAATCTGTCCATGATTCTAAACTTCATGAGTCTCTGCATTACTTATCTGCCACCTTTTAACCCACCCACTCTCCCAAAAGCTCACAGGAAGTTCAATTTTCTGAGAACTGAGAGACAGCAACTGAGCCAAGAGCAGCCAGAAGGCTTCTGGCCATAAAGGGATTCCAACCAAAGTTTCCCCAGGCCAAGTTCAAACGTTTGCCATTGCATCACCGCTAGTGTTACACGAGGCAATATTGGGAAGACACTTGCCCACCATCTTACCTTGTAAGGCTTGGAATTCCTGCTGGGGTTTCATGTGCACTGCCAGACTGAGAACACACACACACACACACACGCACGCACGCACGCACGTTAAAAAGGAAAGTTTAATCAGCAGAAAATATAAAGCAGGCATGAACTTTTAACCTGATATTATCTAGGTTATCTTGGGACCCTGGCAAATGCTTAAGTTCACTATATTCGGGTGTCAGGCCTGCTTTGTTTCTCACACACACCTGGGAATAGATACTTGTTTTTCAAGGTATTTATAACTTTCCCAACTTTTCACTGAGGATACATTTCCTTGTTATTGAAGTCCACAACAGGCAACCCCCGCCCTTGACGTGCTCTAGTCCTATAGAACGTACTGTGAAATTAAAATTGTAACAAAGCCAGGACTCACTTTCTTGGGATGCTCTTTAAAATGTACTATTTTTAAGGTACTATTTTTTTTAACTGATCAAAGTAGACTGTGGTCTTGTTAATGATTTTGTGTTTTGACAACATAAAAAAACTTTCAGCAGACCTCAACAGCACCAATAGGTCATTTGAAACCTATAAGGTAAGTGCATTCACATTATTAGTAGTATCAGTATAAATTATTCAGGCTGTTAATTGGTTATTAAGTGAATATAGTATTTAATTTTGTTTTATTACTACTGCTGTTTTTTTCCAAGTAGGGATATTTCTCCTTTGCAGTGAAGCAAGAAATATTTATTTAACTATGTTTGTGTTTTACAGAATAGTAGGGTTAATATAAATATAGCAGTAACAGTTTGCATTTCAGATTGTCACAGGGAAAGAAATCCATGATATGGTCCAGCCAAACCACATTCTTCTAAGGCTAGTGTTGTCCACCATTTACCTAAGATTAAGCCCATCACACTGAGTGTTGTGTATTATTATCAAACATCTAATATTGCAGTATCCACAATTTCAGGTTACATTGAATGCCAGTCCTGCTTAGAAGAGACACTTGTTAGTATTATTATTATTATTTCTCTTTTTTTCAGTTACAAAACTACTGTAATACCTATATCCCTACTTTGTTAATTGCAATTTCTATTCATGCTTCCCTTGCAGCTGTATATGACTTAATCCTAAGGAAGTGTGCATTGAACTTGTCCCGAGAACCTTAAAAGTCATACAAACAAGTACAAGCATACTTTTAGATTCTTCTTGCTTGACGTTGAATCCCCCATTTGTGCCTCAATGATGGTTCCTTATGGGAGAAACGAGACTGTTTTTGCATCACAGGCAAAAATGCAGATTAAAAATTAGTTGATATTGCAGTCAGTATCTCAAGAGAATTGCTGAGGAAAAGCTAAAGAGTAAAATTGCCATCCAACATTCCAGTTTGCTGAAGTGAACCAGGCATGTGGTGGTAGCACAGATAAGTCAATTTCTGCAATAAGCCTGAGATACACAAGACAGCTAATTTTTGTGGTCTAGAAATATAGCTCTTATAAATGCATGGCTATCATAGTTCTGTTGGAGTATGGGCATGGTCTGAAGGTATGTGAAGCAGTCACTTTGCAGGAAATAAGCACACCTGGAACTGATCTGTGATGGGCTGAAAGAACATTCTGGCCTCCTATATGCATCTCCTGAAGTTTCATGAAAAATGTAAGGGTGGACATGAATGAAATCACCAAATGAAATACCTCTGACAATAGCCGGGTTCTGCAAAACTTAGTGTCCAACAAAAATCTTAGGATGTTTCATAGTACAAAGTTTTCTAGATTTGTGGGTATAAACTTGCATTGGATTGAAACTAACACCAGACTTTTCCAACCTGGTACCATCCAGATATTTTAGACATCAATTCCCATCATTTCCAGAAAGGAATTCTAGGAACTATCATCCAGATCATCTCGATGGCACCAGTTTGGCAAAGCCTACCTTAGATCATCCTCACCCACCTGCAAAAGAAACCTCACATCTTATGAAAAATAATGTTTCCAGCTGTTCATTCTTCAGACATTTCATTCAAGAAAAGTTTTGAAATTCACCTTATGAAATTTCTCTTAATGCAAATAAAGTTCCATCTCCAGTTCTTGTGGTAGAAATATTCCTATGATGACAATGCCTGCTTAGCATTTTTATTGGATTTGATGCAAACTAACTGTACAATCTTATATGTATCTACTCAGAAAGATACATATAACTAATGTATCTACTCATTAATGTATCTATTAATGTAAGTTGCTATACTCAGATATAGGATTACAGCCTCCATTAGTTGTGTCTTAGTCTCACTGATTTAATAGTACAAATTATGACAGACTTAAGTTCCACAGATTTCAATCAAAACAAAGCTGGATAACCTGTGGCACTCAAGATGCTGTTCAGCTCCCTCTCTACTAGCATCAGCCACCATGACCAGTGATCAGAGGTTCAATACATGGAGGACCACACTTTCTCACTTCTGGAAAAGGTATCTGGATCAAACACATCTATTCTAGTGTGTGTGTGTGTGTGTCTGTTCAACTAGCTCTACAGTTCAGTTGGAGAAGAAGATGAGAGCAAAGACAATAGACTGAAACTATAGGAAAGACACTATGAATGATAGTGCTAGTACTAGTACAAGGATACTACAACTTCGTTCATTTGTTTAATTATTGCAGATGCCAGAAGAGTGGTTTGCTGAATCTCCAAACCACACCACAGTAACAACATTCATTATTCTGGGCTTTCCTAATACAAGGAAGGTAGAAATTGCACTCTTTTTTCTCTTCCTTGCTATGTATTTTCTTACCGTGACTGGCAACATAATCATAATCATTACCTTCAAGACAGACAGCCACCTTCAAACCCCTATGTACTTCTTCTTAGGAAATCTATCCATCTTGGACATAGGCTATACATCTTCAACTGTCCCTAAACTGCTCTCTATCTTGCTGATGGAGGTGCACACAATTTCCTTTGTTGACTGCTTTCTACAGAGCTACTTCTTCTTCTTCCTTGGAACCGTGGAGTGTTTTCTCCTTGCAGCAATGGCCTATGATCGGTACGTGGCCATTTGCTACCCTCTCAGATATCCAACGATCATGAATAAAAGAGTCTGTGTACTTATTGTGACTGCCTGTTGGACAGGTGGCTGCCTGGCCCCTATGCTAGCTGCAATAATGGCGGCAAACCTGCCCTATTGTGGACCCAATGGAATAAACCATTTCTTTTGTGATATCCCACCATTATTGAAACTAGCCTGCATTGACACATCACTTGCAGAGAAGATTGTCTTTTTGCTTTCTGCTGTCATAATTCTGAGCACATTTCTGTCTACTGTTGTCTCTTACATCTACATTACTGTAACCATTTTAAGGATACCCTCTTTACACAGGCGCCACAAAGCTTTCTCCACTTGTGCCTCTCATTTGACCGTTGTTTCTATTTATTATGGGACCGTGATATTCATGTATGTAACTCCAACTGCCCGTTCATCTTTTGACTTGAACAAAATCATAGCTGTGATGTACAGTGTGGTTACTCCGATGCTTAATCCAATGATCTACACCCTGAGGAATCAAGATGTCAAAAGAGCTGTGAAAAGGTTAATCCTCAAAATTCACATTGGCAGGAAAAATACTGAAACGTTGCAGGAAATCCATCTATGAGTAAATTATGTGTTTTGAACCCAGTCAAGCTGAGCCAAGCATTACACTACATTCAGGGATGGGCTTTCAATTGGTTAATTTCTAATTTAGGTTGGTTTGCTGGTATCTACTCATAAATCCATTAAGTCCCATTTCCACTTCAATCTATTATTTTAAAATGCATGAAAACAGCATTTTCTACTACCAGCAGTTTTTCCCCCCATTCCCTGCTCCACCCTAAACTTGGAATTGTAATATAAGACTACATTTAATTGCTGTTAACTGCTAAAAGAGCCCTATGAATTTCAAATTCAATTCAGCACCCTATGAATTTGAAATTGTATAAAGAAATAAAGAAATTGAAGTATGCATGTTTCAATGGACAGTCTCCCTCCCTCCCTTCCTCCCTCCCTCTCTCTCACACACACAATCTATATCCCACCTTACATAATTATCCTCCTTCTCTCAGTCTTATCCTCATAACAACAACCCTGTGAGGTAAGTTGGGCTGAGAGTTTGTGATTGGCTCAAAGACACCCAGTTGGCTCCATGACTGAGTGGGGTTCTAGTCCAGAACTTCACTCAGTCCCAGTTCTACATTCTTAACCACTACACCACACTGGCTTTCTCATACATATACTTAAAACATATTTTAAATGCATGTTATTAGCCCTTTACAAGTGAGTTGATGTGTCAGAGCATTCAAGGATTGGGAAAGATGGCAGTTAACTTGATTCCGATCTGTACATTAATTCAGGAGGTATACAACAGGTCAATATATTTATCTATTAGTAATACTTATATACCATGTTACCTCTAGAAAGCCATCAAAGTGAGATACAAAAATTTAAAGCAATAAAACCTTACAGCAACAAGGAAGAATGTTACAACAATTAGAAACAATTAAGGCGTCGGAAATGGTACATTCATTTTTTAATTTGAAAATATGAAACTAGTCCAGCATGTTTGTACCATCCTAATTCAATTAAGTAATTCTGGAGGACTTCTATTTCCTCTAAATTCATTCAGGTCTTAATCTTAGCCATACTATTGAAACTGAAAAGTTTGCAAAATTTCTTTTATATGGTAAAAAATATGAAATAATGAGGAAAGCTGGAGTAAAGAGATCTTCTCACAGTTCATAAAGATCTGAACACTCGCCTTTTCACAAAGTCAGCACAAAGCAGTCTTCTACAACAGCCTTTTCCAAGCTGGTGACCTTCAGAGGCATTTGGACTACAACTCCCAGAATTCCCATCTGAAAGGGCCATTGATTGGGAATTCGGGGTGTTGCAGTTCAAACATGTCTGGAAGGCACAAGGTTGGAGAAGGCTGTTTTACAACATTGACTTTCAAGCAGGAAGGCCAACATTTTTCATAAACTAACCAGAAGACAGCAACTATCCCTTCCACATGGAAACTGGTCACTTGTTACATTTTTTTTCAGAAGCCCTTCTTTGGTAGATGATTCTGCAAAAAGTCATTTTTCTTAGTGACATTCAAATTGAAATCCTTCCTCACCCCACAAATCACTTTAGACAGCATGAGAAAAATGCACATTTCATGTTAGAACTAATTAGGAAACGAACTGAAAATAAAGCAGCCAATATCCAATATTCTCATCCAAATCAATGTGCCAATGCATAAAATCGGATACTAATATTCACAATCAGTTGATTTGAACAGTAGAATGTCATGATCTATTTCTGTGCCAGAGTTTATGCAATGCTTATGCAATGTTTATTCACTTCCCTGTATTAATTGTCCACAGGGAACTTTTTACATCGCCATCATTGTCACCATCATTCTTCTTAGTAGACACTAAAGGTTTATTTGTTTCACTCAGTATAACAAAATGCACATTTTGATAACAGAATCCCAACATGGACCTTTTAAGACAACTTTCAAATCCTCAAAATCCTAAGCCACTGGCTCTTATAAGTAAATCTGAAAGATATGAAGTTTTTCCAGGAGGAAGCAGTTCAAATTAACACTTTATTGACTGGGTTTAGGCAAGATCATTGCAAGAGACTTTGGCAGCATTCCATTGGGGACCATTTTTGAAACCATTGTGGGACTGGGGCTGATTCCACTGATCCTTGCTGTGTCCAGGCAATCCAGAAGCAGTTGGAACATCTGAAGACTTCACTGGACTGGGGGGAAGCTAGTACACAACTTTGTTCTTCCCTGGGGACCCATGTCTACTGTACTTATAAGCCGCCTCAAGACCTTTCTTTAATCTGCTCAATGATAGAGCTAAATCAATGCATCACAGCAACAACAGTTTATTTATTACATTTCTATGCTACCCAATAGTGAAAGCTCCCTGAAATTGCAAAAGATCTGATTAAACAATCAAAATACAAATATATGAACAGAAAAAATATTGCATTATTATATAGAATTGTAGGAATCAAAATCCAGCTAAGTCTGTTAAACTGTTCAATTTCCCCCAGTTTACAATTCTGCTATAACAGGGGCGAAAAAGATGCTTTGGAATAACATTCCAATAAGACCTGGCTAGTAAGTCAAGACATATGGAGAAACAGTAGTTGTCCACCTCTGGGTTACAAGTACTGTGCATACACATGTGGTGCAACGATAAGAGAGAAGGGCAGAGTACAATGAGGCTGGAAGCCTTTGGCCATCTGTGCTGTTGCCTTCATGCTTTCACCAGTCCTGGAATCCATCAACACAATGAGGTCACACTTGTCCACCCAGGTACAGAGAAACCCTAGTTCTGTGACTGTGTGAAGCAGCTCCTTTTTTCCATCAGTTCAAGCCTTTCACCTGAAGGCAGAATGAGAAGGAAACCAGTAGAGCCTGGCATAGATTTACAGATGAATGATGATGAGTTTTCAAAAAAGGTGTTTAAAAACAGGAAAAGTTCATTCCATGAATAATGTCCTCCAGTCCATTAACGTTCCCACAAAGACTCTCCAAGTTAATAGATGCCTGTTTCACAGCTCCAAAGTATAACTCTGGAAACAAACATAATCTCTGGTAAAATAAACCCCATACATGCCAGTAATCAAAAGGTAATGCACATGAATGTCAGTTAGTCCTATGGTAAGGTATTAACAGAAACTTGATTTGTTCTGGGCAAATATTCTCCTGCACAGCGTTCTCTTTAATGCACCTTTTACCTCCTTGTTTCTCAGGCTGTAGATGATGGGATTTAACATTGGGGTGATGATTGTGTAGGAGAGGGAGAGGATCTTCTTTGTGTCTGGTGAATAATTGGATTTTGGTCTGAAGTAGGTAGATGTGGCTGTGCCATAAAACAGTGTGACCACCACAAGGTGTGAAGAGCATGTGGAGAAGGCTTTATGCCTTCCTTCAGCAGAAGGTATTCTCAAGATTGCCACGATGATGCGAACATAAGTGAGGAGAATCAAGAGGAAGGGGAACATGATGAAGAGCACGGTGGCTGAGAGAGCTTCGATTTCAAACATGTGGGTATCAGCACATGCTAATTCTAACACGGGGGGACTGTCACAGAAAAAATGATTGACTGTGTTAGGCCCACAAAATGGCAGGCTAAATATCCATGTGGTCTGCACAATAGAGACAGGGAAACCTGAGAACCATGATGCAGCAGCTAGTTGGAAGCAAGCTCTTCTGTTCATGATATCCAAATAGCGCAATGGGTTGCAGATGGCAACATAGCGGTCATATGCCATTGCGGCAAGAAGGCAGCATTCAGCTGCACCGAAGAAAAAGAAGAAATACATTTGTGTGGCGCAGCCAGCATAGGAGATATTTTTTTTCTCAATCAGGAAATTAGTTAGCATCTTTGGGACAATGACCAAATTGAAACAGATCTCTAAGGAGGAAAGGTTTCGGAGAAAGAAGTACATGGGATTCTGAAGGGCAGGATCCATTGTTGTGACAAGAATGATGAGTATATTTCCAGTCAGAGTTATGGTGTAAATGAAAAGGAAGATGATGAAGAGGGGTATCTGCAGCTTGGGGTGATTTGAAAACCCAATAAGAACGAATTCAGTAATACTGGTCTGATTTTTTTCAGTAATTAACTCCTCAGTTAGTATCATCACTTTGGGAAGACCACCAAAACTGACAAGTTCCTGTACAGGTAACATGGACTGACCACTCTTCCTTTCAATTGTTTGTTTGTTTGTTTTTTCTGTTAGGTGGTGATGCAAGGAATAGGAATCAACAAAAGTTGTTTATGAACCGTTGGAGATGTCTTGAGGCTCCAGCCTAAATTGCCTGATTTATTCCACCTCCAAGTCTATCAGTCATTTGTTCTATAATTGTTTTTTATTTCTCATTTGAATTGTCCTTCCTTCATATCCAGCCAGCTGTACCACAAACACTGCTTAGCAATGCCTTCAGAGAAATGAACTATTATATTATAATGGGAAAGACAGTGGATTAGTCTATTGTTAAAAAGCTATTCGATTAAACATATTAGATTAACTTTACATGCTTAAATGTAATTGAAGTCAGGTTAAATCATGACATTTGTTATGCTTTAACTATGGATTTGATAGACATTCTATATATTTTTGAACAATGGACTGCTCATTTCATAGTCTTCCAGGTACAACATGCCTTTCTTCACAATTCACCACAGAAACAAAGATCAACTTTTGTTTGCTTTCACCAGAATGAGTAGACTGGAATAATGCTTCATGGGCTGCAGCTTTTAACTCAGACCAACAAGCACAGTAAAATATCATGCAGATAGATCTGTTTGGTTAGAATACTTTTGCTTAGAATACTTTTGGTCCTGGAAGAGAAATGGTAAAACATTAACATTTGCATGTGCACCCATGCATGTGTGCTCATGTGTGCGCGCGCACACACACACACACACACACACACACACACACACACACACACACAAGTAAATCTAAACTTAAACTAGGGATTGACAAGCCAGCACCCTCCAGATATTTTTGGCTGCAAGTTCTGTAACCCTCATCCAGCAATGCTACAAGCCAGGGGATATGGAGGGCATCATTTCAGTTGGATGGCAGCAGGTTCTCTAACTCTGGGCTATACAGTTAATACCTGTGATTATGCTTCTCTATTAAGCACAGGGAAGGATAATATTTATTAATTTAATCTTTTGCTGAAAGATCTAGGCCTGTTCAACTTTAAGAAAAGAAGACTACAAGGTAACCTGATAGCATTCTATAGGTCTCTCAAAGGCTGTCACAAAGAAGGAAAAGACCTATTTTCACTCATTCTGGATTATAGGGCACAAAACGATGAACTTTAACTATGGTACACCAGGTGCTGGCTAGACACAAGGAAGAATTTCTTGACTGTGAGAGCAGTAGAACAGTGGAACAAGCTGCCAAGAGAGGTTGTGGCTCTTCCACACTAGGGATATTCAAGAAGAAGATAGACAGTTATCTGAGTAGGATGGTATAACTGGTGTGTTGCACCAGCAGGGGGTACAACTCAGTGGCCTTCTTGGCCACTTCCGGCCCTGCTATTCTATGATTCTATTTATCAATCTGACCTCACCTGCAGCCACTGGAGCTGCCCGTGTGCTGATAAAATTTGTCATGTTGGAACTCATCATGGCAGCATAAACATATATGTAGACACACATCATATAGTGTTCTATCAATTAGAATCCACATGAGTGTAAGTGGTTTCTTCTAACTAATTGTTTTCTACTAATTACGAGGGCATAGTTAGTTGAGAACAAGCTACACTGAAAGGAAAGACGTACCCTGCCTCTGTTTCCAAATTTCCCTCATCCTCTGATTTCCTCAATGCTAAAGTGGTGCATTGGCGTCTTCTAAACTTGCTCAAACATGGAACATGAACCAATTGCCCAGAATTTCAGGAAATGACATCACTACTGCTACTCTAAGAGTGGGCAGCCCTCCTCCACACAGCCACTGGAGAAAGACTCACAATAAGACACCTAAGCTTTAGTTCTGCACTAAGCATACAAACTCTGTATGGAAATTCATGTGTTACAATTATGATTTCAATAATAACAACCACCTCATTAATATGAATAGTAACTAGTCTTTGAAGACTTGTTTTTCCATCCTGCAGAGCATAGAAGGGGGAAAAGCAAATGTTCAGGTGATTTGTTGGCTGTAAGCAGAGGACAAGGAGAGAAGGGAAAGAGGGAAGGCACATCCCCATTTATGTATTTCCATTTTACCAGCTCTCTACTGGCAACAGTGGTTGCAGGTGTGGTCAGGTTGAGCTCTAGACTGATTTGAGGTGGGGGGAAAGAGAAAGTTTTTACAAGTAATTTTTTCCCATATTTGTCAATGAAAAACCCACTGCTTAACCCACTACTGAAGACAGAGGAATATCTCACTCATAAGCACTCTACTGGCATTTGTAGCTGACACCAGCTAGCAATCTACTCAGCAAGTATATGCATGATGTGAAAAGCAGAATTCCCACTGGCTTTCCTCCCACTTTCCAAGTAACAATGAAAGCTCCCCACTCAGTCATCTCAGAGCAGAATGGATGATTCAGGTAAGAAAATTACTTCACTCGCTAAGGATGGAAACACTTTACCATGTACATTGTTTAACTGGAGCAGATGGTGACAGACAAAGATATGGTGGGGAGATCTTGCAGCTCGCAGGTATCTTTTTCTTTAGGTCAAAATAAATGTTTGATAACTAAAGATGAGTGAGTCATTCACCTACCTGCAGAAGCTGAGGAGATGCTCTATGAAAGGTTTCACCTTTAGTGACTCAGTTCTTTTATAGGAGTGTCCTTTAGTGATCTTTGCGATTTGACCCTCCCCCACCATGCATCTCTCGGTAGTAATCAATGATAATTGTGTGATATCTCATTAAGCCCTTATTCACAATTCTGAAAGCAAACAATTTATTCCCTTTCTATGTACACCTTCCCCAATGACTTTGCACTAGAGGGTTAGAACATTATTAAAGCAATATGGCCATTGTACCTGCCAGGGATTTTAATCTCCAATCATCTGGGGCTATTTCTCCAATCACAAAAGGCAATGACTTACCAGCAAGATCTGCCAGAAAAACTCTTTATTGGCGTGTTCACACAGCAATACAGAGCAGCCTGCTCTTCCAAAGAGAGGTCAGCACTCTTATGAACAATTCAAATGCTTTCATACCTTTAAGAGCAAACCCATCAAAATTGGTCATCTTGGTCTCGCCCTGCTGCTCTTTGATCTTTCCTTCTCTCCATTATTAACTTTTGAAAGTAGGATGTGCTGATTTGCCACATCCCACACTTACCTTACCAGTGGGAAGACAAGGAGACAGATTGCACTCAACTTTCTTCCCTGGATGTGTTCTGTAGCAAAATTCAAATGTACACTGGGAATGCAGCAGAGGGACATACTCGTAGAACAATATATATAACTATTTCAACATTCATCTATTTCTCACCTATCAAGCAATTCAGCCACAGATCAACAATTAAATGAAGACCAGAGTATTTTATCCTCAAGAGTGGTGATCAAAATGGAAGTTGACAAATTGGTATTGCTTTATTCAAGTTGCTTCCTAAAACAATAAGAAAAGGAGGAATGGGAGCAGGACAAGATGACTGAAGCAACTCTTCCATCTTGTGTTCTGTTTCTTGTTCCATTGCAGAGCAGGCTCGGTTCTTGAACCTTCCAGTATTGCAGAGATTACAAATGCAGTTCCTGCAGTTTCCTGCATAACACTTTTTGCGTGGCTCCCCTTCCTTCCTTATTTCTCAAACTGTAGACAATAGGATTCAGCATGGGGGTGAAGACTGTGTAAGATAATGACAAGAGTTTCTTAAGCTCTGGGGAATCACTAGATCTTGGCTGGAAATAGGTAAGTCCAGCTGTGCCATAGAACAAAATCACCACAACAATATGTGAAGTACAAGTGGAAAAAGCTTTGTGTCTGCCTTGGGCTGATGGTATTTTTAAGATGGTTCTGAGGATACAGACATAGGAAACCACAATGAGCATAAATGGGAAGAGAACAATTAAAATAGTTCCAGTGACAGCATATATCTCAAACAGGTAAGTGTCTGCACATGCTAATTTTAACACAGGTGGGCTGTCACAGAAAAAGTGATCTACCTTATTTGGGCCACAAAATGGGAAACTAAACACCCACGTGGTTTGGACTGTTCCCACCACAACGCCAGAGAACCCGGAAAATAAGGTCAGCTGGACACACATCCCCTTCTTCATAATTACTGTGTAGCGTAAGGGATTGCATATGGCTACGTAGCGGTCATAAGCCATGGCAGCCAGGAGGAAACACTCGGAACCTCCCAATAACAAGAAGAAAAACATCTGAATCACACACCCAAGGAAGGGGATAGCTTTATTGTAAGCCACCCCGAGATGCTAGTGGTGGATGGCTAGAAAAGCTTTTAATAAATAAATAAATAAATAAATCATGAGTAGCATTTGATCTGAATAGAAACACCGCCTTCCATTTTTGTCAAAAAATCTAGCCCTCCCATGAGGGTTGCGTAGAAAAGAAAGAAAGAAAAGAAATGGTCTTCAATGGTTCCGTGGCCCTAATTCAGATTTTATTTACTAAAGTAAATCATTCAACCATGCATGTCTCCTCTGTGTGTAACCGGATGAAAATGTATTACTCTTTCACATTCACGTTCATACTGGGTTAACTACAATGGAACAAGGCACCTTCACTCCCCTCCTTCCCATAGAAGCCCTTCCAGACTGCTGAAAAAGTTACACAGAGTCAGCAGAATAGACTGCTCAGTGAGGTGAACTATGATGTAGGGGTGGTCCCCAAACTCTA